TCAGGTAAACAAAGTTCAGCCTATTTTATAATAGTCAATTCATAGGTTCCAGAGTTTACTCATAACATCAAATGTCTTCCTTTTTATAATAAAAGTATTGATAGGTTCGCAGTTTTAGCATTGTGTAGCAAGTGATTAGCACTAGCTGGCGTGTCACCAAGCGCAATGGCAACTTATGAACCTTGAGAACTAGTCGTGGAACCCTCGTCTACTCCGATGAAACAGGAGGAAACGTTTCGCCTGTGGTATATTTAAAACGTCAACCGGTGTGAGGAACTCAGGCGTGCGATTGATGTATAGAAATTAATAGACGTTCGCGCAAAATGAATAAGTTACTTTCGTCACCACCAGTTTTATTTGTATTTTTTCCAGATATACAAAAAATGTTTACAAAATGTTTTTAATTAATTTTGATAAAAATTAAATTACATCTTCTTCAATGCAAAGTCTAACCACAACCACATTTGTACAATATTAAAAGATACCGACATAAGCTCACCAAAGATAGTACTCGTTGTTATTCATATAAATATTGTATATAAAATAGAATAGAATATTTTTTTATTGAACGTGGAATAACTTTTTTTTTCGTCTACTGTTAACTGATTCGGCGAATAATCTTCACCCTGGCAATGCTACTAAGAAGAACATTGAATGCCATATTGTTAATAATGTAGCTATTATACATCTTCTTATACTTTTGTATAAATATATGTTTTTTTTTATGTGAAAAGTTGCCAAGCGAGCGGACCGTTCACCTGGTGTTAAGTGAATTCTGCCGGCCATGGACATCTGCTACACCCGAGGGTTGCATATGTGTTGACAACCTTTTGAAAATTGGGCTCCGGCTACCTCAGACCAGGCATACCAGACGAACCGCGAAAGTATTATACTTCCACTTTACGCCGGTCTTCTGTGAGGTGGTCGTACTCAACGGGACGAGCCTGCCCATTCGTGCAACAGCCGAGCCAACTTGCTGCGTGGCCCTACCGCGGTTGTATGTAAAAAAAGATTTGATCTAGTATATGTTTGATGATATCCACCCACTAGACTTAACGATTTTTTAAATAAAAGTATAAAACGGGGTTTTGTTCCGTACGCTAAGTTTTTGAATGCTTTTCGAATGCTCCATGGAACATTTTGCGGTAGTTTACATAGTTATTCATACTTAATTCAGATGAATGTTTAATTTTTGGTTAATAGTTTCAATCTAGTCGGCATGAGCTTACAGAATAGTGAGGTCTTGCCGTTGCGAGAAGAAATAATCGCCAAGCGATCGGAAAAACAGGGCTGAATGATTGTCGTGCAACATTCAACAACCTACACATTAAGCAATTATTATTAATTAGTGTGTGAAATTTTATAAATTAAAAATCTGTCTGTAATTGAATCAGAAAAATGTCAGTGGAAGTTTATGCAACAAGTAAACAGGTTCTAGAATTTTATCGTTAACCTTTAGTTTTTACTTCAAGCTTGCTCAAGGAAGAAATGAGATCTTCATACTGTCTTTCTCATCCTAACCCAGTGTGGCATACTAGCTTTGAGTAATCTCGAAAGCGTTTAAAAATTTCATTTGTCACCATGCTTCAACTCGAAAACCGCCGCTACCGGCCCATTAAAATACAATGCGTTTCAACAAAAGGAGGCTGGAAACGGAACGGGAACAATTTGTACAAAGGCAGTGCACCGAGCACCGCTATCTCCGCGATAAAGGGCATAAATCTAGTCGACGTTTGCGCTACTTCGGCGTTTTGTACTTTTTAACGGTGCGGGAGCAAGGGGACAGGGTTTTTATTCAAAGTAGCCACTTAGTAAATAAAATATGTCCGCGTACGGAACAATGGGAGGCCGCGCGGGACGGCCGGGGGTACCTTTTCCACGTTTCCCCGGCTTCCTGTTTTTTTGTTTGGCGGTTTTTTTTTTTTGGGGGTGACCGCGTCACGCTTACCGAGTACACAATCGGGTCGTACAGGCGGTACAAAATTAATTGTCGTCGAAATGTGACGCTCCAATTTATCGTATTAAAATTTGTATGTTGTTAATTAATCGAATAAGTGTCAAATAAAAATATCAAGTGAAAATATATATGTTACGATGTTATTAGTAGAGTAAAAGATATTTTTATAGTGTCCTGCTATCTTTATAACAAGTCTACATGTGCAAAATTTTCTAACACACTTGTAGACTAATAGATAGGCTATAGTTACGAGTGAAGAAAAATTCGTTAATAAATATCAGATATTTTTCCCTGCAATAACATCCTTAGTAATAATAAAGAGCAGTATCATGGAAATGTAAAAAAAACTATTATTCAATGACACCAATTTCAAATTGTCGTTATATTTTTATTAAACTCTTCCTTGTAACAACTAATCTCTTCTTCTATTTTAAAACCAACAGATAGCAAACCGAAGTGGAGAAAGTTTTGAAATTTTCTTTGAATAACCATAAAACATTTGTGTCCGTGACAATTTCTTGTACTTATTTACGCGAATACACTTTAATAAATAGCTCGTAAAAATTAAAAATCTCTTCGACTTTCGCCTTTATTCCAAACAAGGTAAGACCTCACCATGTGCACAGCATGTCCATCCACTTTCCTCTATCAGACGTCATCTTAATACTCATCCCTTTCACAGGCATATCATTTTACAGTCCGTCCAAATCTTTCTTGGCCTTCCTCTATCTACAGCCTCCAGCCACATCCATACTCATTACTCTTCAAGTCACATGACTTTCATCCCGTCTCATAACGTGCCCATACCGTGTCGACCTACCACTCCTTATTTTCTCAGTTACTGGTGCAACTTTCAATCTTTCACTTATACTCAATCCAGATCTTATCCTTTCTCGTCACACCACGCATCCATCTTAACATTTGAACCACTGCCACATGCACGATTCATTCATTCGTCTCTTTTGCTGCTCAACATTCAGTTCCATACATGATAACAGGTTTCACCACCATCTTGTAAATTTTCCCTTTTAGTTTCAGGGGCACTCCCGGGTCACTTGTAACTTCCGAGACCTATCGCCGTGTAAATTAAAAATCAACCGTTAAAATAATTTATTTTAGTAATTTGTGTCAGTGTTCAGACAATTGGGCGCGGGTGTACGCATTTTTTCTATCTGTAACGGTACCGAAAAAATGTTTAGTTGTTGGCGAATTTGCATTTGTTCGAGAAGCGTCCCGTTGGGCGGATGCCTACGCTCGTTAGCTTATTCATCTTCTCTCCATTTTGTTTTCGTAGCTGTTACGTAACTTAATTACGCGCAATCCGAGGATTCGGGATAAAAAAACTAAGTAAAAAGTTACTCAGCAGCCTTTCTAAGAAACCTCGAACTCACTTTTCCGAGATGGAAAACATTTAAGGTTCGTTGGTAAAGTTACATGATAAATTCACAAAATGAGACATACTTACATTACATTATTTTGTCATTTGTTTTATTAGCAAATTCAAATCAAATATCTTTATTCAAATAGACGCTTGCGCGTTCTTATGAATCGTCAAATTTTTCATAAAAAATTATAATTATATACAGGTTCGTAAGGTAACACCGGTTCGGAAAGCAGTTTCTGTTGAGAAGAGACCGGCAAGAAACTCAACAGTTGCTCTTTTTCAAAAATATCACTTTACAATTGACTATATATAGAATAAGACTATTATACCGATATATTATTACGGTCTTATTCTAGCCTACGTGAGTATCAACAGTATTAACTCCACACATTGGCGTCGTCGAGATATTCCGAAACGGTATAATATGCTTTAACCATAAGTTGACTTATGATTTTACGTTTAAATTGATCAATTAAACAAATTGTGGTTCAGTTAAATGTGTTCGTACTGTTGTCATTTTAGTAACAACAAATTAATAATTAAAATAACAAAATTTTATTATACTCGTATTCAACAAACTATCAACGACATAATATGTAATAAACTTCCTTTCCTGTTTATCATAATATTAAACCATTAGCAGAAATTTAAAATATTTGATGTATAATATTTAATGTCCGCTTATTACGTTAAATTCAAATTACTCTAATTAACTTTTCAACTGACCTTCGGTAAATTGAACTAATTATCACGGCATATTTCCAAAAATTGTCGGGACCATTTATAACTGCTGGCCATGGCTAAGCTATACAGGGTTAGAAAAATCCAAAATACGTTAATTTTTCCATAACAGACAGTGTGTTTTCACCCCGGGAATTTACATTTCCTTAACAAATAGACCTTTTAAAACTGATTAATAGAACACCCAATTACAAATAAAAATCAAAATTGACAGATTTGAGATGGATTGATAAGTAATACGTGAGTATAGTAAACAAAATTCTTACATTAAGTTATGACAATTAAATTATATTATTTAAATAAAACGGTTCAAGGGAAAATTTGCCTCCAATATCACATTCACATTTTTGAAAATTTCGTGGTCAATGGCCTTGTATTAAACTATATCGTTCACAATATTGCCATTAGTATTTCTTGGATACAAAGCTTACTACTACTCTAAATGACACGAAATGGGCCGAAATGTCCATTTGTTTACAATCAAGTATTTGTAGCGATCTTGAATGAGCAAGCGCAACCGTTATTGATATGCAAAATATATTAAACTCATTAGGTATTCCACTTTTGTCAACGGTGGAAACGAGAGAATCTGTTAGCTACATTTCTATCACTAAATAATTCTGATTCTGTGTGTCAATTTTGACTACCCCATAACGGAAGAGGTAGCATTAATAACGATATATACATCAAATCTAAACCTTCTAAGGGAAACAGCTATAACTGAAGACTGGAGCCGCGTAAAACAATCGTAAATCGTGAGCTCTAACCAGTCGTTTAAGATTTCTACGGCGGATTTATTGCGTATTAAAGGGGCAGAGCAGTAGGACGGGTTCCGTCGTGTGGCATTCGAGATGAGGCGCTTAATTGTAGTGGAAGCCTTGGCGGTCCACTCGCACCAAATGTCCCGTGAGGGATTTACGTGCAGCTGGCACCAGCTCCCTCCCCCTCCCACGGCCGGGGCGTGTCCGGGCCACGCCCAGCGCCCGCCCACCCGGGAGACCTCTTCGTTATGTAACTTTTCCACGGGGTGGTGGGTGGACATTCGGACGTCGGGTTTATTGAATTTATCGAGGTGGCCACGCTGCCAAGATGGCGCGCTTTATTCGCGAGGAATGGCTTCTACGGACGTACGTGGGTGGGACCACGGTTTTTGTATGTCTCGTATCTTGTGGTATAGCTGTGATGCTCTAGGGAATTTCAATGAATCTGAGCTGCCGCATCGAGTCCTTTTTATCAGCTGAGGCGTTGTTAGCGCTCTGGTATCCGATTTACTATCTGAAGATGGTAAACGAGTAAATGTATCAACCTTACACGTGCTCATAAAAGGCTACGTCAACAATTTTCCTATAAAAAATATTTTACTTTATAACATTGAATTTTACATTTTTGCTTACGTGAATAGTTGTTAAAAATATCTGTCACGAACACTACAAAATCAATAGAACGAAAACTAACAAATACGATAATACGGATAGTTTTATTAAGAAGGTAGGTAGGTGGTAATAAGTCTATCAAGAAAATATTGTTGCTTATAACATGGGTAGTTCGCGTTACATACGGATAACAATAACGTACGTTTGTATAGAGAATTTAATACTGACTTGACACTGCCAAAATCCGTGATAGCTCAGTGTCCGGGCGCTCGCCTTTAATTCAATATACTTGAGCAACCTGAGTTCGATCCCCGGTGCCGGCACCAATGAAGTTTTTAACTTTAAGTGCTGACTTATCACGTGCTCCGCGGTGAAGGAAAACATCGTGAGGAAACCTGCATATTTTCGAAATAATAACAAAAAAATATATATTTCGAAAATATGTGAAGTCCGCCAATCCGCAGTGGGGCCGCGTGGTGGACTATGCCCTGATACCCTCTGTATAGAGGAGGCCTTTGCCCAGCAGTGGGACATGTATTGGCTGTTACTTTACTTTACTTTTTACTGCCAAAATCATTTATAGAGAAGCTAGCTTTAGAGGAAGAAAGAAAAAGATACAGATTTGTCATCTATTTTCAAAAAGATATCAAAATTCATAATTACAATTCAATTACACAAATAATGAAAATTATTTATTAGTACTTAATATAACAAATGCTTTTAGTTACCACCGCTTTCAGTTAAGATTAATTAGCAAACGGTACACCTAAGGAGGGTTAACGTTAATCTGGTGGCCGGTGGTAAAATACCCAAACATTAAAAACATTAACATTTCTATAAGTGCAAGAAATATTCCATTTAATTTAACAAAAACAGCTTTAAATATGAAGAACTAGTAAAGAAATTGTTTAAAGGTAGGGTAGTCATAAAACTATTGGTTTTAAACCTTGAAACATATGATACACGTATTAATTAGATATCATCATAAGTTTCTATTATTATTTCAACACAATAACTGTTTTGGTATGGAACTTCAGAATTTCTGTAAAATAAATTTTACCTTTTTGCATATAAGAGCAAATCGGCTCAAATGAAATAATCGTTGATTGCAATTTTATGTGCTGATGATATATTAAGTGCTCAACGGTGAAGGAAAACATCGTGTGGGGAAGCTGCAAATTTTCATATAAAACGTATTTCGAAATTATGCGAAGTCTTCCAAAACGCGTTGGGGTTGAGAGGTGGTCGCTCTCAATAAAGAAACTTTGCCCAGTAGTGGAACACTTGTTTTAAGTGAAGAGTAGTCAAGCGCGCAGGCGAGTTATCAAATGTTAAGTGAATACTGCTCATGGACAGCCGATGGCTTGCTGATGCAACCTTTAAAAAGGGGGGGAACTTAGAAGACGAAAGGGGAAAGTTTGATGTTGTCATTTCACGTCGGTCTTCTGTCTGCTTTTACTTTACCTAACTTTAAAATAAAAGTAGATTACTCAACCTCACTAATTCCACTCCATGGTAAAGTGAATATGTTGAATACCTTCAATAATATCACATTCCCTTCGATTAGGGGGTCTAAACTCCACCCATTTTAAACTCATTATACCATAAAAGCAAAATTATTTCTGTTTTTTACGGTAGAAGCGAAAATAATTCTGATCCGAAAAATCACTACAATGTGGGGTATACGTGAAATTCCAGAAAATTCTTTTAGACCACTAGAAATTATTTGCTTTTGACAATTCCCTTGCAGAAATGCATAAGAATAAATTTTAAATTTAAAAGTCGCAGTTACTTATATAAACATCACTTTTATTATTATTGCTTTTAATTAATTTTATTTATAAGTCTTTTTAGATTTACCATATTGTATTTTTAATAAATATAATATAAAACCAACAAGACTGCACAACTATCTTAAACTCTTGTGAAAGTACGTTTAAGTGGTAACCATTCAGTCATTAGTCTTTTCAACCGACTAAAAAATGTTTTCTTAATACAACAAAATACATTTGAGATGAAAGATATTATAGAAGTGCTCCATCAAGCTTTGAATGAATGAATGAATGAATATACTTTATTGCACACCAAATAAAACAAACAAAAATTAAAACTTAATGTAGAAGTAATGGGTACAATGAGCGGCCTTATTACTAAGAGTAATTTCTACCAGGCAACCTTTGGATGGATTGAAAAAGAAATAATTTAGGAATAAAGGTGTGGGTTAACTAAATGAATGAAAAAGAAAAATACTTATCTACAATCATAATTCATTTTTTCATATTTTCATTCAAGCTTTCTTCCGGGATATGGCGAATCTACTATTCTACCAATGCTACTATTGCACCAATGACACTCGTCAGAGAAATAACCACGGCCTCACAGATGGAGTGAAGTAGAAGTTCTACACTTTTGCTTTTCGTCTGGTGAGTGAGGTAGCCCGAACCCACTATTCAGCCAACTTCAAAAAGGTTCTCAATTCGACTTTTTTTTTTTTTATGTTAAAACTTGCCAAAGACGGTCCACCTGATGTTAAGTGAATACCGCCGCCCATGGACATCTGCTACACCCGAGGGTTTGCAGATGCGTTGACAACCTTTTTGGAAATTGAGCTCCGGCCACCTCACTCACCAGACGAAATGCGAAAGTATTTGTCATACTTCCACTTTACGCCGGTCTTCTGTGAGGTCGTGGTACTTACCCGGACGGGCCTGCCCATTCGTGCAACAGCCGAGGCTGCTGCGTGGCTCTACTACCGTTGTATTTTTGTGACTTGTGGCTGTATTTTTTTATGTTTGTTTCCGCAGAACTTTCTACCGCGTGAACCGATTTTAGTGATTATGTCGTCGGTATTGGATCTTGGGATCCGGAGATACTCAGGGAAATCATAAAATTAATAATGTAAAATAATGTAAATAATAAATAATGTAAATAATGTAAATAATGTAATTAATAATGTAATTAAATTAATAATGTTATTATAAAATGAATACAGAGCGAGATATATCAAGTCAGTTTTGTTTTTAAAAAAAGGACTTTTTTAGGCGCATACGCACCCGTTGGAGTGTCGTAGGTGTCACTGGCCACGTTATGAGTAAAAAAAAATATAATTTATTGACGGCGATAATTATTTCATTTCGATTTAACGTTACAGCCTTATTAGCGACGACCGTGTGTCGTCAGTATAAAAGGACGCGTGCGCCGGCGACGCGCGCTGTCGGGCTGATTACGCACAACGTGAGTATATTACCTCCTTCGTTTATTTCGATTTGACTCTGCTTCAATTAACAATTACCAATTCAATTTGCTTTGTACCGGGTTTTTAACGATCTGCGCTTTGTCTATCCACGTGTTGTTACCATAGTAGCTTTTTTACTTACGATTATTCTACAAACGTTTCTCGCAATCCACGTGCTTTTGGGTTATTGTAGCTTTCTTGCTCGATTATTAAGTTTTATTTCGTCATCGAAATCGCACTTACATTTGCCTATTTTGAAGAACACCGGCCTCCTGACGACCATGAGTTGCTTTACTTGACGATGTTAAACTGACCGCGTGGTGAAATCTGAGCACATGGTGCCAACATCAACCCTTGTGAAGTCCTAAGTCTTCTCGCGTATCGTGTTGATCATCGAATTCGGCATGGTCTAGTCCCGCGATTCTGTTATTAGCAAATCTAATTCGCGCTGACCGTAATAACATTTATTAGCCGGTTATTAGCATTTAACTATCTTTAATAACTGTTATTATTTAAGCTCTTGATAATTTTACTTCTTCAAAGCATTAAGGGAAAGGAGGAAACAAGTGCATGCTTTTTTACATTACATCAGTCACATAATTTAGATGTTTAAACTCACCGAATGATATCACCACAAAAAATTAAACATGTGGTTTCCCGGAACTTATTAATTTAAACGAAGACAAAAAAACCAATCTGATTTACACATGCTAATTGATGGTCCTCTTTGATTTTGTTGTACATCGCAAGATATGAAAGCTGTTGTAGAGTTCGTATAATTCGATTGCTGAATAATTCACGTGTACGAAAACCCGTCAATATTAGTCATATAGTTGAACTGTTTCTGCGGTAGTTTAATCTAAATTTTTAGTGCTTGTTTGTCTTAATTTGTCCTTGCGCTTAATTTCTTAAAATCTTACTAAAGTTTTATTACTCTTTGATTCCGAATGACAGCCATGGTTGTTAAATTTGCTACGGGCTACTACATCATCTAGCCCCCTAAACATTTTATTAGAATAAAGAATATGATTAAATTTCTTAAATTACCATTTTTTTAGCTCAAACTTCAACTTATTTTCAGTGACTCAGTGCCTGAGCCATATCCGCACTGCTGCCGGGCGGTAAGTTTGATCTTAGTATGTCCTTTATGTTTTTGTATAACTGATGTTACGCTTTAGTCCAGTCCTTAGACTATTAAAGCTTCATCGAACGCAGAACCAGTGGGCTAGCCAGAACCTACGGGTTTGAGGCCTCCTCATTGGGTCCCTGAGGAGGCCGCGTACTCATGCTGCCCTTTATGTACCACAGTGGACGGTTTAGACACTGCAGATATTGTACGAACGAGATGGCTCCTCCGGGTAACTCCATTACTATGGCCTCATAGCACACTGCCGTAACTGCATTTTGTTGTGATTTCTTTGTTCTCTTGTGATTTACTTTTTTTTTTTCTGTCCCCACTTTCAAAAGCAAAGCATCTGCGTCGCCTCTTTTATTCTAGATGTCCTATGGAAGACAGTAAGCGCTAAACTGAACTGTACTTACAGTCAGTAAGTACTTAATTTACTTAACTTACTTAACTGAACTGTACTTTACTTAAAATATTTTTCAATTGTACTCTGTTTTGGACGACACAAATGACTGTCCTAAAGCCGGTCAACAGTGTGTCCTAGTACGACATCTTGGCAACCTCAGTGTACGAGATCTTGGCAACCTCAGTGTTTCATTATATCAACCTATAATACAACACTAAGGCGAAGCAATAGATATGTAATTTTAGAGCCATCCAAACATGGTATAGCAATCTATCTGGACTTGGAGCGTAACGAAAACATGGATTCATTTCGCCGTCCCTTTGTATCTCTGTAAAAACTCTTTGTATCTAGTATGTTCGATGTTTAACAGAGACCCCTGCACACTATATGTTACTATGGTGGAGGTAATCGCTTTACTTGACGTGGAACGTCTGCTCGCTTGCAAATCTCTTGCAAATTCTTATATTTTCATGCCCTTGGCAGCTGCGACAGTTTAGTATTCCAGGGACTTGCTAGCTGTTTATGTTTCTTAACTTTGTCAAAACATTACTCTTTTTACTCTCAAATTTCCTTAGCCAGCAGCAACGCCCGGCGGCAGTGCGAAGTGGGTTGCTATTACCGGCATGCCGAGACGAGGCATCGCTGCCGCCGCTCCGAGAGAGCGGTCCGCAGTGACGATGCATTAGAATTAAGTTTTTTTAAAGTAAGTTTTGCCTATGGTTTTGACTGGTAGGGCCACGCAACAGTCTTCACTGATGCATACATAGCAGGTCCTTCCGGGGAGTACTGCAACCCTACGAGATTTGCAAATGTCCATGGATGGCGGTTATCGCTTAATCTCCTGTTCACATTGAGCCAACTCATTGGGCCAATGCATTGGACCAAAGTGTAGAGGGCTATTTTGTGAAACGTTTATGACAAATCGTAGTTGACGCGAACGTCGGCCGAACGTTGGCCGGTAAATCGAATTGTGTCAGTTTTTTTGAGCACACATCAAAGGAGCGCCAATGCTCAATAAGCAGTACGCAAATGTGTGAACAGCTACACACCGCGAACGCAACGGCTTTGGTCCAATGCGATGGCCCAACGTACCATACACCACCATACATTAAAAAAACTTGAGCCAAGTGACAGCTGACACATGGTGCTTCTAGCTCTTCTTGTGTACACCTCAACGTTTAGATTGTCGAGTCACCGGAGGATATGCACCTTGTAGGCTTTGCAAGGCTTATATCCTCTGGTGTATAAGCCTGAGTCGTGCCATCAGCCGCAACAAAATTTTATACAACTGTACGCCAATAACTTCGATGCTTTTTCTGTTGTAGTTAGCGCTAACCTAAGCGCTGCTCTTCCTTCGGATATTATACACACATATCTTTGCCATTAATCAATCTTCAGCTGCACCTTAGTAAAAAAATGTCTTTCAGAAGTCCTAATGTGATAGTTGAAACTACTTCTTTACCGTAGATCCAGTGGCGGATTTGCCCTAAGGCCGAATAGGCCGGGCCTAGGGCGGCCACTTATTACGGGCGGCCAATAGTGACCAAATAATAATATAAATAATATTTTATTTATTTTTCATTTTTCAGGTATGGTCAATCGTTTAATGTGCATGCACTTCTAGAATTTGTAGCGGTAATATTAATCCTACGAGTCCTACGGTAGACGACTGAAGCCACCGAGCCACCCGTCAATCGCAACTTTGTTTGTGTGAATAGTTTTTTTTTTTAAAATGTAAACTCGTTCATTCAATAGCTGAGGTCCTTATCTTAACCTCTTCAATTATGCGCAGAGCCATAGTTTTAAGTGCTTTTCCGTTGCTTTAGCGATAATAAGTCAGATGAAAGTATGGAGGCAGGTGTTCCGTACTGCGTTGTTTAGTTAGCGATAATAGGTTAAGCTTCACCCCCTTTGTTAGTTAGTCTTAAGTGAAATAAGTTTTTTAGTTTTTGTTACATCCAGTCAGTAAAGTCCATGATATGAGCGAAACCAGTATTTATTATTATATTCACAACTTAGCGTTACTTTTGCAGTGTTTTGTTGTTACAAGTGCAACTTAGGGTTAAGTGATATTTTGTTTTCATTTGGGACATTATATTTTTTTCTTTGCTTATTTTGTTACATGTTCGAAATTTTTGGCTTTATTTTTAATATATTTACTCACTTTGAATGCTTTTCGTTTTTACATACCTACCCCTTTTTCTTCAACTTTTTCTACAACACATTTGGAATATACAAACAAACTGGAATATACAAACAAACACATTTGGAGTATACGCATAAAATATTACAAAAAATAATTTTTCCAACAGCCCCAATGATTCAGTTTTCTATAAGGCAAATTTATTCTTTCTTTTTAAAAACAATGTAAATAATATCTTATAAAAATGTAGTCTTAAATTTTATAAGACATTATCAATACCTTTATAGTGATTTCTTTACATATACTCATTTCATTTACACAACACTAATTTGAAGTATTTATTTGGAAGAATAATCCTGTATCTTTTTAACCAAAGCTGTTTTACCAAAGGTAAAATAGATACGGAATAATTTCGTGTATTAGGTTGCAAACGGATGCTTGAGATGCATTTAATTTTGTGTTGTAGTCGGTATATCATTATCAGATACATAATCTACGAATTATTATGAATTAGTATACTATTATTGACAATTCTGAGTTTTCTATAATGAAATTGCAAAATAGCATGACTGAGTATTACACAGCTATTATATCTGGCAATGATAGTGGACTCAACAAATCTAATACAATATTATCATGGACAATTAAACTGTACGCCTTCGGTTAACTCTGAAAATAAAGTGCAAACTCTTCTACGATAATACAGACGCTTAAGTGTCTCGGAGCATCCAAGCTTCGGCCCCAAAGTATTGCCAGCAAATTTCAAGACACACGTATTGATTTTGGAACAATAAATTAACATTTAT